AACAGGATTCCCAAAGGAACGTCCTGAGGAAGCAGTAATAGCCCATCCCAGCCAGTCAGCTCCATCCCTTTTCTTCCCTGCTCTTCTGAGCTCCCTGCTGATTCAGTCAAGGGGAACCCTTAGTCCTGCTGGGTAGGCAGAGCAGTTGAAATAGATGGCACAGCACTGGCTTTCTCCTCCAGGGCATCAGGTGAGGGAGCTCATGCCTTCAGCCGGTCACACAATGGGAGAGGTTCTCCTACGCACCCACTTGCCAGGCCAAGAAATACACCTGCAGAGCGGCTGCAGGTCCCATGGGTGTGGGACAGCAGCAGCAACAGCATGAGAAGAGTTGAAAGCACATGCCAGATCCAAAAGGAGAACACAAAAAACCCCCCAAAACAAAACACAAATCTGGGAAAGTTAGGATTACCTAGTTACAGGCTAGATTTCTTCACTGCAGAAGAGCTGGCAGAATCCACAATGCTGACAATGGCAGAAAAAATGAGCTTGGTTAGATCCTGAGCATGCCTTGCACATGATGTACCCACAACAGAGGCCAAAAACTGCCTGCTTCAGTCCCCAGGATTCCTCCCGCATCAGCATGTTCAGAGGAAGGAAACTTGACCTCCCGCCCCTGTGGAATGGGCAGGAAGTTACTCCCTAAACCCCACCATGTGCAGGCAACTTGGGAGAGCTCTGGGGCACCACAGCTTTCCTACAATAGTTCCCCTCCTCTCCTATGTGGCTGTTGCCTCGCCAGGCCCTGAGCAGGTCTTTCACCACAGTGGCTGTTAGAAGCTACAAAAAGCAGTTGGCATTTTGTAGTCGGTTCCCTGCAAATACAGGTGAGGGGGTAGGTTTTACTCCTTCCCAGACTCTAAGTAAGCCTTTGTCAGAAAGCCTGAGACAAGGGTCCAGGGTGCCTGGTGCGTTCTGCTTGAGGCCCAGGTGCTGATCATTGCTGATGCTCATCCTTTGGAAACCAGTGGCTGTACTTCTCAGCCCATGGGTGTCATCTGCTGCTTTAGCCTCACTTACATCAAGTTAAACAGTGTCCAGAAATGATTGAACGTAACACAGCTTAAACGGCCTCTATTTGTGTTAAGTGAAAGTACTTTCCTGACCACAGAAGAGCATTTGTACCAGGAACAGACAAATGGGGGATTTAGTAACTCAAAAGAGCAGAACTGACACAAATTTAATTTTGCCCTAAAACCCCCTCCTTTTGTGGACGCTCTTTCCATCAGCATAACCACTCATTTTATTAATGGGAATGACTACTTTGGCTCCCTTAAGTCTAGGAGCTACAGTTTAGCATTTTTAGATTTAAAGAGATGGGTAATGGTACAAGGACAACAGTATCTGGGCTGTATATTAGTCCATGTGAGGGGTTCTGGTTGTGATCTGTGTATGTAGGACTGTGAACAGAGGACCTTGTCTACCTCCCTGGAGGAAATGGAAAGCAAACTCTGGCTAAGGGAGGAGGAGGGCAGGAGACCAGGAAATGGGGCTTACTTTGAAGGGGAGACAGAGGGAGCTAATGTCACTGGAATTGCTGAAGGGGGATTGTGCGTAGATAACATCCCACAAGTCCCATCTCCCTGCCCCAGTGCTTATCTGTGGTACAGGTCATGTGAAATGAGGAGCAATCTTAGGCTCCCACTCCAGCAGGCTGAACAGTTTACATTCCTCCCTTCCATTATGACCTCCTCCCAGCTTCCTCCTTATCTGTTTGACCTCACTTAGCCAGCCCCAGGAGTAGATTTCAGCCTACAGTACTGAGGAGTCCAAATATGATAACGCAGAAAGGGGAAAGGAGGTATGTTTGCTTGGAACCGGAAGGTAGCAAGATCTGTTTTCAAGACCCTGCCCTGTCTCCATCAGGGACGCAATGTTTTGGGAGGGCTTTAGTGCTCGCTGCACTAGAAATTTCATAGGAAATCTTCCTAAATCTCAACCTTCCACACAAACCAGTGCTCCAACTTGCCTGTTCCCTGATGCTAGAAGTGGCCACATTATGTTGCTGAATGAGGTCATTAATTGAGTCATCAAAAGTAAAGAAATAAGGCAAGGAAAAGATGCGGTGACCAACCAAGTGTCACAACTGAAATCAAGTGGCTTGCTGGTGGTGACATGAAACTAATGGGAATTGGGTCACTGACATCACTGGGAGCAGGGCCATAAGATGCTATTATAAGAATGCCTCAAATGTTCCATTTCACTGCTTCTGATGCAACACTCACATTTTTCCTCTGTTACATCCTTTCCATGTGGCAATGGAAATATCACTGTTCTGGATGCTGTCCTTTCCCCCCATACTCCTACCCCAGCTCTACTTGCCACTCAACTTCCGTTACAAGGTAGCATGGAGCTCATATTTTCCACTGGTTACAGCAAATCTATAGCACCTTTCTGCTCCTGCAGAGATAAAAAGCACAAAGCTGGTGCTATCAAAGCTGCGTCACCCCTGATGAATTATTTTCAAGTTATCCCTCTAGGCTACAGCCTTATTCTAAACAACAAATTACTGCTCAAGGTAAAGTCTCATGACCATTGAACATCTGCAGAGAGCAAGAGGCAATTTTGCTTTGGAGCTGAAGCTCTAGGTTCCTACAAACCAAAAGGGGATCCAGGATTTTGCAAGGGAGCGGGGGGGAGCTGTAGTAGTGACCCTTGCTGCGGGGGTGGCAGCTACACCCTCCTTTCCCAACCTCCTCCGCTGCCCCTACACCAGGGCAGACAATGTCATGGGAGCAGCATCTAGGGGCTTTTTTAAGTCCCCAAAGCAGATAAGAATCCCCCCCTCCCCTGCCACCCAGAGGCATTTCCCCTCTCCTAGTCTCTTGTCCCATCCCCCCCACCACCAGTCCACCACCACCAGTCTTGGGGACAAAGGGAGCTCCAGAGCCAGTCCAGCCAGGAAGCACCGGGGCTGGGCTCAGTCTGGGACAAAGGCAGTGGTGGCTTCCCCCTCCCTATGCCTATTCCCAGGCCAGTGGGAAGGGGAGACCACAGGGAGGGAGAACCCATCCATCTTGGGCTGAGCCCAGCCCCACAGCACCTGGCCAAAATAACTCTGGAGTTCCCCAGGCCTCCAGGACAGTAGGGAAAGTGGCAGATAGGCAAGGGAGGGAGGGGATAGAGAGGGGAGTAGAGGAAATAGAGGGGAAGGGAGTTGCCTTCTTTGGGGACTTAAGAGAAGTCCCCAGCCCCTGGTCCTGCCACATGGTTGGGGGGTGGGGGGGGGGAGGAATGCAGCTGCACCTGTGCACCCCCTTTGGATCCACCCCTTCTATAAACTAGTTTTACTAATGTAACTTCTTGGGAGGAGCTCCTTTCTCAAGTGCCATCAATTATGGAAAACTAAAAAAGGAGATATGAGTACATCTAAGAATATTTTTTTCATTTTTTCCTGTAAAATGCAGGAGGCAGCTTCTGCACCTAGCACTACCCAGGTCCAGAACCAGGTTAGGGTTTGTGGCAACACAAAATTCCCCACATTCCACAGTAAGCTCCTGGCATCTGGGGAACCCAAGCTGGTGTAAAGCAGAGGAGACACCTTCTCCTGTATGAGATGGGGGCTCAAAAATACTCGAACAAGCAGAAAGAAAAAAACCCTGCAAAACCTGCAGAAAACAAGATTCCCATGCAAATACGGCTGAACTTAGCCTCCCACAGATAGGAATGCAAGTGGAAGATAGGTTGCCCTGCTGTGTACTTTCATCTTTCAGAACCAAATTACAGTAACTTTGCAGACATTCCACTGTCCGGAGGCTAACGATGATAAAAGCCAGTTACAAACAGTGAGTGCTGGGAGAAAGTTAGGGTGGATGGGCTGAGCTTGCACCTAGCTTTACAGGAGAAGTAATTCCAATCTCCTCTTGCATAGCACAGTGTCACCAAACAGGGCCCTTGAACAGCACACAATATGCGTTTTCAGAGATGAGGAATAATGTCCTTCTGTTGCCTGATTTCTTCTAAGTGAATTTAGCGCCAGTGATGGGAGCTGGTTTGACAGACAGAGATTGAAGGTATCTTTGCCCCAACACAGCAGAAAGAGAAGTGTCACAAGAGGCTTTGGATACAAGCATGCATATTGTGCTTTGCCACTTGTATCACCTCAGACTCAAGAAGCCTGTTTCAAAGCAGCACACTCTTTGGGCTATTCAGGCCTTAGCATCCGTGTCTGCAACATAGCTATGATAAGGAATCCTACCCACCACACGCAACTCACACGGGCTTATTTCTGGGGCCTCGTGGCTCCCAGCTAAGCACCATTCTCTCAGGACACACTCACTCTTCAAGAATATTTCATACTTAATCAGTGTAAAACTATTCTGGCATGTCAGTATGTTTCCCTAGCAGCCATTTGTACTATGGGCTGAGGAAAACAGCTTCCTTTAGGGAAGAAGGGGTATTCCCAGGCTTACAAATACCACAGTGCTGACTGGTCTTGCTCATAAGACATCACAATGGTGCTTTGTAGGACTAGAGCTGCCAATGTGAGTATTTAGGCCTGATGTTGATTTGGTTAATGCTGTATCACCTAGGGAAAAAATCTCCCCATATTTTCTGTTGGATACTATGCCCTTCCATTCATGCCCCAAACCAGGGGATCCTGTTACTGTGTGTTGGTAAATTTGTGCCATCTTCTACCCCAAGAGCAGTTGCTTCTTTCAAGTGGGTGAAGCAATCCATGGGTAAGCCCTGCCCTTGGGCACAGAGACCTCGGTGGAAGCTTGGAGTTCTGCCTAAAAGATAGTAAAAAAGAATTCGGTCATATCTTGCATTTTCTTGAGCCATCATTCTCTCTTTGAAGGAAAGATAAAAGGATCGACACAATATTTGCCTTCCAGTTCACGTGGTTCATTCTCTTAGCTTCTGCCCCATTTACCATTGTTCCAGCTAAACAGCTGTCTAGATTGCAGCCCCTTTCATAAAAGAAGCCCTGAGATGCATTATGGACAGGCACCTGGCAATGCTATAGTCATTTGTTTGGATAGAAGGAACATGCAAGCTTTTAATTGTTCATGGCAAAGAGAGTCTTTTAATGACTTCAATTAACAGAGAAAAGAAGAACTCCAGTTACCTCTCGCTATACAAAAGAGTGTCCACAATGTCTTTAAAACAGGATTTACAAGTGTCATAACTCTCAGCAGCATAGTCACAACACAGCCAATCATTACAACTGAGCACCAAGGGAAGGGGGAATAACAGACCACAGAGGAATGGAAGGAAAAGAAAGAAGAGGGGCAAAAAAATCATTCTTCTTTTCAATCTAAATTGATTTTTATTCTATAAAATGCTACTCAGGTAAAATTGTAAAAGCAAAACCATTTTAATATGTTCTTTCTTTCATAGCAGCAAGCTTTCTCTAACAAGCTTTTTTGTTTTAGTGCAAATACTGTAGGCCTGTATTACAGTAAAATAACAAGAACAGAAAAAGAGTCAACACCAGAGAGACTGCTTCAGAGCCGAGTTTCTCCACGACCACAAGAACTATATAAAGATCAAAAAGGAATGAAGGGCCCCAATTCAGTCACCTTGAAGAACCTTCTTGGCAGAAACTATTTCACCCCAGGCAAAACAAAAAATCACTATCTAAACTTGTTCAGAAAAAAAAATCCTGGTGCCCCAAACATTCATTGATCTCCATAGATGTGTATGAATCTCTGGGGCCTGATCCCGATTGCCATCACACTGCTCCTACCCTAGTGCGACTCCACTGATTTCACTTCAGTGGAGTCACTTCTGATTTACCCACATCTGAGTGGAATCAGAATCAGGCCCTTTTATCCTACAAGGATCTTAAAGTAGACTTCAGTGACACTAGTAACTTATCGCTCTAATAAAGATGCACTATCCCTTATTGATGTTATTTTGAACTACACAGTTTATCAAGATATATACAACATTTTATCCTCTCACTGACCAAAAACAATTTTATACCTATTTTCTACACATTTTAATATGTTTTTAATATCAAGTAACCACAGACAAGAAAGTGGAGTAACCCTTTAATCAGACAGTATGAGAGGGGAACAATTAAGTAGAACAGGATAAGATTTTGTTATTATCTTGTACTCTGAGATGTGTCCCCAGCCCTAACTCCTGTTCACAGAGGAATGATAATGCATCTTTAGAAACATATCTTTTTATACATTTTATACAGACAAAAAAGGAATCATTTAAGAAATGAAAAAAAGCATTATTAGCCTGCAAAAAAACAGTTGAGTATTTTTAATGCTGTCTTTTTTATATCCAGGTCTGGAACAGAGAAAAAGATGTAAACATGATAGATAAATAAATAAGGACTAAACAGTAGACTGTTCCCTCTCCCCTCCCCCCTACCTCTAAAAATGTTTGACCTGGCCTTTCAAATGAGAAAGATTGTAAGTGTTGTAGTCATTTAAAAAAAAAAAATTTAAATGCTTCAGAATTCTGCTTTAGGATTAAAGGGCGGGGGATGGGGGGGGGGGGACACAAAACACCAGGAACATGAGGTTGTTAAATTAACGGTGGGCAGATCTGCTGGAGCAGGCACAAAATACTTGCCTGCCAATAAATAATGAGATACTATTTCTTTCTTTCCTTTTTTTTTTTTTTTTTTTTTTTCTTCAGACTAAGGCCAGGTGGATCCTACATGCAGAAAGCAGCAAAAATAAAGGAATTTGAATGATCTATTATGTTCATCTGATAAGATTAAAAAAACCTCAAAAAACAAAAGCCCCACGACTGATCCCAGCATGTTGGTCCCAAGTCCTATCATATCACAAGCAGTTTCTGGACTTAGCCAGTGCCTATACCAAAGAGAAAGAAAAGGACAGAGGCAAATGTCACAGCTAGAAGGGGGCATGGGAGAAAGGGTGACATCAGAATGACATATCACTTGGAGTCTGAATAAAAGTTTCCTTCAGTTTAACTGCTACTGCTCCCCACTCACCCACATTGGCAATGATTAATTTTAAGCATGTTATTAGGCACTTTACTGAATTGGAGTCAGTCATCAGGGGCATGATCCAAAGGCTGTTGAAATTCCTAGAGGTCTTTCTACCAACTACAATGGCCTTTGGATTCTTGACGTCATCCACCCTGAGCCCCAACCATGCACGTACAATATTCAGTCATTGCACGTCCAGGAATCCCTGTAGTGGATGTTCATGGAGAGCACCAGCTGGGGACTAGTGGGGACTGTCAACACCTGGAAGAGAGCAGGCAACATTGGGTGCGTCTACACAAGGCGCTAAACGTGCAGTAGACTAATTCTACTGAACATTAGTACATCACAGCAAAAGCCGTGCTACTGCACTAACTACAGTAGAATGAATCTCCTGCACATTAGTGTCACTAAAAAGGTGTGTGCCAGAGCTACTGTGCAGTAGTGCCAATTACTGCACATTTAGTTAGTACCTGTTATTACAGGTACTAAAACTTAATGCACCGTACCTATGGCGCATCAGTGCGTGTAGATGTGCCTGCTGACACTCACAATAAAAAGCATCCAGGACCCATCTCACAGAGACTTCAGGCTGTATCTTGACTTGTAACAAGACTATCAAAAAGCTAATGTGTCATCATCACTCAAGAAAAATGTAAAGAGTCTCATGACCTAATGGCAGACAGAGGAGAATGAGGCCATCTAGGCAACATCACAATGAATTAGGCCTAAAAAGAGGAGCCGATTTTCCATTGGATGTACCCCCATGGCACAAAGGTGAGGAAAGGGGATTCTTTTGCTTAGATAAAGACAGAAACAAGTAATTATTTTTAGACTTTAAGCTGAGGGCTTGGTATCTGTAAAAAGTCTTGACGTCCCTTGTAGAAAGCAATCTATAGCTGAGACAGGGGTTTGGGCCACTTGTGGTAACGGACACCTCTCATTCGTAAGTCTGACTCTTGCTGATGACAAAAAGAGGTTTCATGGGCAAGGGAAAGGATGACGAGATTATATTTTGCTCCTCTGCTTACCCACCAATACTGGATGGATCTTTTACTCTCCTGGAGGTTTGTCAGCACACCTCTACAGTAAGGACAATGACTGATCCATCACAAGTCTGATAGAGAGCTGATCAGCTTGTGAGCAGTGCCTCATTTTCCAATACTAAAGGGGTCTAAGTAAATATTTTTAAAGACACCACAGACTTGTGTGGTGATCAGCAAGACTTCAGAGGAGGCTTTTACTCTCCTGCTGCCAGTGTAATAAACTCAGAAGTGTAGGAAGGCAGGTCTCTATTCAGTTCCTTGTAGGATTGGACCTCTTTTATCAATCCAACCTTTATTCCAGTGACTCTCTGCAAAATGCTAATCAGGTCAGCTGGTCCAGGAAACACTGGTGGGCAAGCAGAGAAGACAAAAAAGACTTGCATTTTTTTTATTTATTTATTTATTTTAAGAGGAGTCACCACCTGTTAGCATGATGTTCCACCATGTCAGGGTGGGAGTGAAACAAGGCAATTTTACTGAATATTCCTGAAGCAAGGGAGGCTCTGCTAGACTGGGCAAAAGCAGCAGCAATCTTCCTGATGTAACACTGTCTAGTTTTCGATCTCTGTTGCTGGAATAATGTAGAAAAGATTTAAGTAGCAGAGAAGTAGAACAGGATTACTGAACTTCAGTTTTGTAGGAACTCACTAATATCTTTCTGCTTATGGCAGAAGAGCTTGTTTTAAAAAATAAAATAAAAATAACAACCCCTGCAACATTTTTGTTCAGGGGCAAGACAGTGACCCTTTAAGAAAGATACAAAAATTCAAAGATACTGCAGGACCCCCGACTGCTCAGTAAAAGTCGGGTCCAGCCAGGTGTTGAGCAGTCTTAATTCCAGTGGAGTCAGTAGGATGTGAAGGAGCTGAGCACTTCACAGGCTTGGCCCTTACAATGGCATAAATGCATCAAAGATTTCTCCAGTCCAGCCTCACATAGAACATAAATAGATTTCTGTTAATAAAGCAAAGAAGATACCACACAATTAGAAGTAGCTTTGATGTGCTACCCTGCAGCTGCAGCGAGCTGGGACCAAGGAGATTCCCTTTGAGTACATTTAAGTGAGCCTTCAGCTTCCACCCAAGTGACCTGATCCAACACCCACTCTTAGAAAAACCTAACGTGCACATGACCAAGATGTTTCAGTGCTACTGACATCAACAAGAGTTGGAAGCTAACTCCTGATGAACTCAGGTTAAGCACATCACCGTTATCAGTAGTGAATATCCATGTTAAACAGCTGTGCCTGATCAGGGACACTATGTTGGCAGCAAACACTGAATAAGACGACCCAGGGTAAGGGGCAGAGTTCTCCAGTTGCCTTGAAGACCAGAACCTCTTCTCCCCCATATCAATCAAGTAGCAAAACCCAACAGAGGCCAGGGACTGAGGTGTAATGGAATGATGGATTCCATCACTGTCAATTTTGGAATTGAGATTGGATGTTCTTCTACATGATGTGCTGTAATTCTGACAAGGGTTTAATTCAAGTAAGTCCTATGGCCTGTGCTGTACAGGAGGTCTGAATGGATGATCAAAATGGGCTCCTCTGACCTTAACATCAAGGAAACTATGAGTGAGTGACAGAACCAAACATAGAGCTCAGAGGTACAACTGCACTGTTGCATTGTGCCGAAAGGAAGCAGCCAAATGAGTGTCCACGTAGCTTTGCCCTCTTGCCTTCAGTTAATCTCTTTCCTGGATTCACAAGAACAGCACATTCTCTTTAGCGACACATTCTGGATATGGGCTGGGGAGGTAAGGCTTGCTCTCAGGCTGGGATCAACTTCTGAATCAGACAATGTGATGAGGAGGAAGGTGAGTTACACCCATGGTGGCTGGCAGCCAGGGCAAAGGAAACAAAGGTCCAAAAGCCAATCTGGCAAACCCTAATTACAGAAGAAACACTGCCAAAGTCTAGTGGAAACTGACTCGAGCATCCCATCAGTTTCCTGGCACCTCTCCTGGCCCCATACAGGAGGTGTTTTGCTAACCTGGCTATTACACTGCACAGGGGAACAAAGCAGCTCTCACACTCAATGATTCCTCCCATACTCAATCCTTGCCTCCCCCCAACCCAAACATATAAGCCTCCTGCAGTCTCTCTTCATCATATCCTTGTCACAGAGACTTATAGGCTATCAAATCAAACTCTGCACATAGTCCTTGGGGTGCCTCTCAACTCCCCCCCCTCCATCCTCCAAATGCACCCTCCCACCTTGACAACAGTAATGTTCCCTATAGCTCCTTCCCCCACATCATCAGCTGCTAACAAAGATCATAACAAGCCTTTAGAGTTTAGACTGACTAGATGAAATGTCTTGGTAACAACAGCTACAACAACAAAAAATAAGACAGAAAATATCTAAAAAGATCAAAACTAACCAGGTTTAAGTAAGCACAGCAAGTAACCTTTCAAAGTAATTCACAAAGGCAAGGGATTAGTGACTTTCTGCAGCTCGCCTCCAGTCCTGGCCAAGAGTGTTTTCCCAAGTCCACTAAAGACATGAAAAGATTTCCATAGGCAGCTCCTACAGAGGGAAGATTTCCCCCTCTTCAAAACAGACAAGGCATTTCATTCCCACCATTGCCATTTTCTCCTCCATGGAGCTTCTGTTTGTTCTCATTCTTCCTGCCCCAGGAAGGTCCTGGAGCCACAGCATTTCCCCTTTCTTGCTCTTGCTGCCCTTGTGCTTAAACGACCTTGTGCCTGTCTTTAATCCCATGGAGGGGGTGTCCCCCGAGGGTACTGGGTGGGAATGTAACACATTGGCAAATGGGGGATGTAGAGGGATTACAACGCCAACAGAGTTGGAGAGTTCAAGGAATCCGAGGACTGGTCACCGCTGCTGCTGCTTCTCCGGTGAGCTTTGGAACAGGACTCTGAAGGGGAGAGAGGAGATTCCTGATCCAGCACATTGGGGTATGTAAAGACCAGGCTAGAGGAGCCAGGGGTGATGGCAGGCGTTGAGGTCACCACGATGGGAGTATTGAGTGATTCCTCCCCATAAAACCCCCCTGCAATGCTGATGGGCTTAATGACAGACCTCTGGGCTTTGTCGAGGACCAAAGAGGAGGACGGGATCTCTTCCTCCACAGGCTCCTGCTTCACCACCACAGCTCCACTCACTCCGGTCCGGACAGTTTGGAGGCTGCTAGACGGGGGGCTACGACGCTCCTCTGGGCTGATTTTACATGCGGGGCTATGAGCCACTAACATGAACTCCAGCTTATCTTTTTCCTTCTGCAGATCTGCTATCTCTTTCTGCAGTACTGATTTCTCCTCCTCCAGCTCCTCAGTCTCCTGCAGACAAAAGGAGAAATACATAAATCTCAGTGTGTACCTCAGGGGAGCATGGAAGAATAGCCTTACCAAAGTGTTCTAGGCACAGACAGTAACTAATCAGATATCCCATGGCCCTCCCAGTGCCCCTTCATTCTGGTTTGGCACAAGTCAGTCAGAAACATAGTGACCCTTTTTAATTACAGATTATCCATTGGGACAGCCTCAAATACATACTTTCAGAGCCATCCAAACTGTGCACGCTGTGAACACCCTGTTTTTAGTACCTCTGGGACCTCAAAGAATGCCAACACATTCCACAGCAGTGAGGACTAGCAATGAATGGGTGCTAGGGCAATGCACAACCAGGGTGAAGAATGTATCATGAAAAAAACAGAGAAAGCATACTGTGTTCCAGCCTCAATGACTTTCACCACCACTGCTGTACTACCAGGGGATGTTGAGAAAAAGTCATTGCCTCTTCATACAGCACATTTCAGACACTCAAAGCTGCTGTAGCAATCCTGCCTACCAAAGAAATTCCACTGGACTGAGTTCTCAATCTTGGGTATGTAACTACTCCCCAGTCACCTGTTGCCATCTGGCATCAACCAAACTTATTGGGCGCCAATCAGTGCAATCCATTATGCAGGTAGATGGGTAATCCTCCTCCTCCTTTCCTTGCAAAAGCAGTTCTCTCACTGAAGAGATACCAGGCTGGTCCAGCAAGATTTTGATAAAAACTCTTTGATAAAGACCTATATTGCATTTTAGCCCATTTTCTGCAGTCATCAGAGCACCTTACAGATTTTAATGCACGTGTCCTGAGAGTTTCCTTCTGAAGGAGGACAGTGCTTTTGCTCCCACTTTACAGATGGGAAACTGAGGCATATGGAGACTAAAGGCAGAATTCAATGTCACCTCAGGGATGACCAAGATGCAGCTTGAGACTAAGGTTACCAGTTTTATGTGAGGGTATCTGAGTTACCCAACTCCTGTGTAGCACCAAATCTATTACCACCTCAGGGCATGTAAATACTTCCATTATAGCAATGGGATTGCCCTCTGGAGATGCAGATTTCTCCCTGGTCCTATAAAAGTGGCACTTACAACTCAGAGCACATAACAACTGCTCCCACAAAATAGGCAGGAAACTCAACGTTGGTTACAAGCTGTACTCCGGGTATCTGATGACACAGAATTCTGACCTAGGTGAGTATCCGAAGGCCACAGAGGATGTTGGTGGCAAAACAAGGGTTTGAACCAGCTTTCCTGAATCCTAGGTTAATGCTGTACACAGTAAGTAATTCTTCCTTTCTAGAGGACCTGTAGAAATATCCTACTTAAGTACACTGGAAATCCTACTAAAGGAAATGTTATTGGTTTAACTTGTTCAAATGCTGCATGAGGAATGAATATAAACGAATCACAGGATGGGAAGGGAAATGCTGTACTGGCAATCAAGTACAAAACATGTCTGGAAGGCTTGACAGTGTAACAACAATATGCACTCAGAACTTGTCAACTGACAGCTAAAAATAGGTGTGGTGGGGACACACGGCTCAAATATAATGACCTCATGTCTTATCAGCAGAGTTTGGATCCATGATCTTGAACAGCACCGCACAAAGCTCTAAAACATGAGCCAGAAACCTAACCCCACTAGCTGCTAGTTGCAAGAAGCAGCTAACCTAACTAGACCAGCCACTGAAGGAGAACATGACACCCGCTCTGCAGCATGTTTCTGTAACATGATAGTAGAGAGGAATAGTGTAGGGTGGTCCATGATGAGCACAATCAGGAGGGGAGAAATGCATGCAGAGCACATACCGCCTGGAGTTTCTCTGTCAGCTCTCGACGCCTGTTACGACACTTAGCAGCTGCCAGCTTGTTCCTCTCTCTCCGGATCCTTCGCTTCTCCTCTTCTTCGGGTGACAGCTGTAGGCAAGCGCCAAAAAGAATAAAAACAAACCTCACAACCAGATCTGAGCAAATTATTTCGTGCAGATTGGGAACACTTCACAGCAGAGTGAAAAAGGACCTGCCCCTACAAGATGTTGAGCACGCTGTTTCCCTGGCTGTCAGTGGGAGATGAAGGCATTTGGCACCTCCGTTGGGACTGGGTCTTAAATGAGGGGCTGGGGAACAAGGCAGAGTTAGGAGTGGATAATTGTGCAAGCAGGCAGTGTATCTGCAGCCAAGGCCAAACAGATAAAAAGATGCTCTGATTGTTTCACAACTTGGGTGGTATATTAAGCAAAACCAGAGCAAGATGTTGTAAGTGCCTCTTTTTTGAAAACAAAATATCAGATTCTTCCCACTCAAAAACAGTTGTTCACTAGAAGGTCAGGGCCCAAGATTTCATCAGCAAGACTTACTGAACCCCACCAAGCTATGACAATTTCCACCAGCTGAGGATCTGGCTCTAGATTTCCAAGTAGTGGTCAAGGATACATGCTGTACTTCCTATATTGGCAGGCTACAGTCCAGAAAGATAGAGAGACCTCTGGGACCAGATCATCTTTTCATTGGTATACATCAAGAAAAAGTCCATAGAAGCACAAGGAGGTACATTATTGCAAAACCAGAAGAAAGGAAGGTTAGGACTCTTGAGTTTGGGCAAGGCAGAAGCAACATTTAGGTTTGGAGGGGGGGATTTTTACATAACCTGACAACAGAAGAAATGCTACTGTAATGGCAGGGGTCAGGGCAGACTGTCAGTAGGTATACAACAGTACACTAGATGAAGCCTTCACTGCTATGCTGGCTTACTCCAGCTAAGAATTTAGCTTGTCATTTTTAAGTTCTGGCACAGAGCAGATTTTTGTCCAGAATTACTTATTCATTCCCCTGCGGGACTCCCAGCAAGCACGTACAAAGCAAAGAGTGATGTGGGGACAGCCCCAGCTGATGTGAGCTGGCACAGCTCCACCAGCTTCAGGTTTGTTGGGCTGCTTTCCACTACAGAGGATCAGCCCCACTGAGCATAAACAAAACTGAAACAGGTTCAAGTATGCAGTTTGGTCTAGCGCAGAAACATAAAATGCCAGCAAATAATGGAAAGATGCTGCTTTCAGAAAGCTTTCAGTTTTAATACCCTTTGGGGCTGTTGATAACACAACGAACACATTATTCATAGGTTTTTTTGGTATCTGTTCTTTTTTATTTGTACTCTGCCTACCCTCATTCTGGTTTTGATTTTCTTTTTCGTGTTGGATTTTTTTTTATCCCTCAATCATTTCAGTCTCAAGAAGCTTAATTGAATCTTTGTACACTTCCTCCATTAGGCTTTGCCTTGTTTTTTAAACAAATGTTGAACATTTTTATTATTTTGTTTGGTTATAGAATAAAAATGCTTGTATTTGCAAAAACTATATGCAACTTATGTATCCAGCTCTCATACAGATACAGACCTAATTCAACAAAGTCCGTTAGCATGTGTTTAAGTTCTCTGCTGAATTGTGACTTATGCAGGGGAGCTCATGGGGGCTGAGCCCCGCCCCCCATAAGAGATGAGAGCCCCTGGCCCACCCTGCACCTTCCTAAGCAGCCCAGGCTGTGGTGGTAGCTCCTTTCAGCTTCCGGCTGCCACCACCACAGACCACCCCCCCACAAGAGTTGGAGTGCAATTCAAACCCTGGACCTATGGATAGGATTTCCAAAGGTCCCCATATGATTTAGGAGCCCAATCTGTACCGAACAGTATCTCGAACCCAAATTTTCCTCTTTATACCTTAAATTCCATTTAACAATCTCGCTCAGGATGCCTTTTTTCATTTGTTTGTTTTTTTTACAAGTCCCATGATCACTCAGGACTGTTTACAATTAAAGCCACAATCTGAACGCATACAACTTTAACATTTCATGGGAACAAAACCAAAATGGTTTCTCCATTGGCTTGTTTAAGTGAGTTTGGTTCCATTTGGTTTGTGACATTTTTTGCATTAGTTCACGGTGAATAACCTCATGTGTGCTCTTCCTGGCAAAAACATTCACCCAAATAGCCTCTTTTGGGGTTTTTTTTTTTAGTAAATATTACTAATCTTCTCCATAAATACATTCTACATTTGTGTTGTATGCATCCCCACAGCCCAAACCCAACCCCAGGGTCAAGTTCATCTACTCCGTTATCAAATCCCCATGTTTTTATTCAACAGGGTTTGAATTTGAATGTCCCACACTGAACCACTTGCAAACAAGCCACAGGCCAGGAATTGCTGGCAAACATTCCTAGGCAAACAAATCTGAACAATTAAACTGAAGAATATGGTGATCTCTTCATGGCCAATTTGTAAGTGCAAAGGCAACATTTATCAGGCAAACTGATTGTTGCTAATTATTCCTCCAGCTCTTGTGACAGCCTCCTTCCACTTTAGATAACAGAGCATTGCATTGCAGCGAAACTAGTGGAAATACAGCCTAGTGCAGGAGCCTAGCATAAGTTCTATGCTCCACTTAACACCTAATGGACAATCAAGTTCTTCTTGAGCAAACATATGCTAATAGAATAGGGCTTGAATTCAACTTTACTAGCTTTTTTGTGCTGAGGGGAATTACACTGACTGTGAGCAATATTAACTCCTTACCTGCTCTGGAAAACCAAAAACAGCAGAGACACAATGTAGCAGTCAGACTGTGAATCAGAACAGATGAGGTGGAAGTAAAAGCGGGGCTGGTGTGTTTTATTAAAAACAGCCCTAATGTGACAGCCATCGAATCGACCGAACGCATGCAATGTCTCATCGCATTTCTCTGCAATGACCTGCAAAACCGCTGCTTCTGAGTAATACAGAGAGAACCAAATTATTCACATCCACTTTAGGAGTGGATTGATCACGTGAAAAGCAATGGCTTGACAGGTCTCCACAGAGAGGTGCCCTGATGTCAGGTGTGCAGCAGGAGTAGTGGCACTACAACCATACTGTGCTAGCCATGCTGATGTCCTCAAGAGCTCTGAAGACATGAGTGTACAGTACCCCTCAACCTCTGCTCAGCCTACCTCATGCTGCCAAGAGACTGGGTGCTGGGGCTAGGAGTATGGACACTTTCCAGCTAGGAAATGGGCTGAAGGCCCTGCCCATCTCATGCACAGGCAGCTTATTTTTTAGTAAGCGCAGATAGGTTTGCTCAAGGAGAGCCTGTTCCTCCCACTGCTCACTTCTGGCTAGTTTCACTCTGATGCTATCACACAAGGCTGGAATTGGAGTAGGGCCAGCTGGTTGAGGAGCAGGTAAAAAGCAGAGATAGTTGATCCTTAGGGGAAGGGAAGACCCAGCACTCTGACAGGGTGAGCCTCCAGCCTTCTAGCCCTATCCTGCTTCACCATGGTAGGTTTTAAGTGGAACTGCACAAATCTCAGTGGTTTGCACAAGAGGTTCTCTTTTGCTTGGGGCTGCAACCAAGCAAACTCAAAACTCAAACTGAAACCTAGTTTAGTCTAGACTATGGAGTTTCACATGCTTTTTAGGCAAAGCCACAAACTGTCCCAGGCTAGAGAAGCTTGTGGAGAAGCTTAGTTGAGTAACTACTTGCAGTGATGTTGTGGTAATAAAATGCTCCCTGACTTCTGCAGTGTTTCATTCCAAGAGACCACATAGCCCAAAGGTAAACACCAGCTCTTGTTCCCTCTTCTTAGAGTTATCAGTTGCTTTAAGAGGGCAGCAGGGGTTTTCCTCTATCTAGAGGAATTTCTGGGTGGTATAAGCTGATGAGGACTTAGTTTTACACTCTCTGGTCCTGTTACCCCAGCTTAAAGGACAAACAGGGGTGGGAAAGGCATGATCTGGAAATCTAGAGCCAATGAAACAGTCCCCAAGGGTCATTCCAGCAGCCCAAGTGAAAGCAGACCTGTGGTGGGTCTAACTGGCAATCCAAGGATGCAGGGAGCAGATGAGGCACTAAAAGCATCTGTGCATAGTGATTGGTGGCAATCAGGAACATCTGGCCTTAGGACTCAACTCATTTGCCACCTATATCCATGCAAGACAGTTATTTAACCATTCACAGTAACAGCACACATCATCAAGGTTAGGTCAGGAGGTGAAGAATATGAAACTCAGTTAAAAAAAAAAAGTGCAAGGGAATTTAAGGGGACAAAACTTTAGGAGCAGAAACAGGATTTCTAGGATTAAAAAGCTTGCAAAAGGTGCCAGGGGATCCAGACGTAGCTGCAAGCTGTCAGAGCCTTGCTTATTAGATCTTGCCTTCCAAAAAAGGCCTTCCAACATCACAGCATAGGGGAAGGGAGGCAGCTACCAGCCAGATCTCAGTGAGAGGGAAGGGCACCTCATATTAAATCACTAGCCCTAAGACCTATGCTTAGGGCACCTACGCTTTTTCTTGTAGGTTCCTATCCAAACACCAACCATACCCAAGCCTACACAATTGAGAATGAGTCATTCCATCTTTCCTGGTTACCTGCTCATCTCTTCTCCTTCTGCCCACTGTTGTCCCAATAGTCTTAATAACGCCAGGTCTCTGCAGGGCAGTGTGTCCAGCAACCGAAGATAGGTTGGGCAGAGGATGGCTGTAAGGATGGGAGCGAGAGTAGGGACTCGACATGGAGGTGATCACAGTAGGCTGCACCATCCACTGAAGATCTTGGCTGGTTGTTATGGCATTAATCGTGGGGATAAAAGCACTGCCGGATCCTGGCATATCTACTCGGAATTTCTAGGAAGAGAGGGGAAAAAAAAAAAAAAAAAAAAAAAAAAAAAAAAAAAAAAAAGAGAGAAATTAGTACATGCTGATTATGAACATCCTAGGTGAGCATCTCATCAGGCACCAAGGGTTAAACACCCGATCCAGGGGTTAAACACCCAAAGCAGAGGGACCCAGCAACCTGTCAGTATGCAAACTACATAGAGATCTCAGTGTTTCCACAAACAGTCAACCTCTAGCTGCATCTAACAGAGGGAGTTTCAGCATCTGGCATCTGACTCTCACAGGCTACTTTGGCTACATGCAGAACAGCCCACCCATGTGCTTGTTCCTCAGGAGTGGACAGGGCAGAGGCAGAGACAGCACATGAACAAAACCCTCACAGCAGGACCCTGCGATGCTGAAAGATCAATGTTGTTTTGGTGGCCTTATCAGTCAGTGTCATTCAGTTCTGCTGTGGTTTTGCTGTATCCCACTTCTGCCTGAGACACTACCATTGAGATTCCTCCACACCTTCCTTGCCCCTCAAATAAGAGATTCTTCTCTGTCTTCTCCACTGTTTCTCTGCTCCCAGTGCACACCTCTCTCTGCCCAACATCTCATACACAGCATCGGCCCCAGAAGAGCAAGTTGTGTCATAGTGTGAAAGGGAAACTGGGGAGTTTCTAGAAAAATACTTCTCCATCAATCCAGAGAAAAGGAAGGGAAACTTTAGCCCTCCAAAGCCACTGCCAAGCACTGTGAAACCTTCTAACAGGGGACCTCTTCTATCCCTGCAGACAGGAGTTTCCCCTTAAATTCTGGCCCCATGCACAACTGATCTGGTACAATGAGCATTGGTGGTGACTCACATATGCCTCATGGCATTAGAAGGCTTCTGTCCTAGGGTGCAAGGGCACGCTACAAAAAGCCTGGCTCTGGGATGCTTTCATGTGTCTAGGCATATTTTAATGGCAGCCTATAAAATGCATCTCAGGATTCAGATCTGGCAAGTTCCTTGCAGCTCTCAGCCCAGTCTAGTCAAAACAAGGCAGCAGTTAAACCAAGGCAGTAGGTAATGTGGGTAATGACTGCTTCTAAAACGCTTCTGCTTGTACACCTTGTTTCAGACAGAGGTAAATCCACCTGGATAAGAGGCAAAAGCTTGTCCCCGGAGGGGGAAGCAAGAGAAAGAATGCTTTTGTCTAGGCAGGGATCCTCTCCAGAGGGCTGTCAAGGGTTCGATTAGATTTTACAGGCAGGTCTTGGGCCAACAATCCGAAGTCTGAATACACAGAGGACAATAGGCTGTTAGGACCAGAGATGACAGCAATTAGGTAACAAGTTTGTGGCCCTTGCAGTGATCCTGTGTAAATGCATGGCTCTGGATCAATAGAATGACTTCAGAGCGGAGTCAGAAAAATATGAGGGAAAGGACATCATCACCAGTGAAGAAAGTAGCCCACTTCAGGACAGCACTCAAGTCTGTGCTTAATGATAAGGATGTAAACTGGTTCTTTCCTAAATCTAAGGCTAATACCCTGATTGGTTTGGGTCTTTGGGCCGACATCACACAGAGAGCACCCTATTCAAATGAATTCCTACTGAATTCAGTAGGCCTGAGATTGGACCAAAATCGTCCACTTTGAACACAGACACATTCCACTCTGGAGTGTAAGACAGGCCAAACTAGGGGGAAAGGATGGGTAGAGATACAGGTAAATCAAACTGGAAAAAAATATGCAAGAACCCTCCACCCCCTGGCACTGAGCCTGCAGCCCCAGGCCCAGAGTCTCAGAGAGTCACCTCGGGACCAAGACAGGACCTGTGAAGACTCAAAATCTTAACAAAAGGCCCATCTTCATGAGCTCATGAGCTCTCCTGGCTAACTGGTTAGACCCAAGAAGTCTGGAGAAGAGTCAGACTTACAGGTTGGTTCTCTATCCCTGTACAGGAGTTTGTTGAAAGATCTCTATTGCTTCCTCCCTTACCAGCACCGAGGTAGCTATGACTGTATGACACAGGACATCCTCATACTCACACATCACGTGACCTAATAAAGCAGGGGGCAACAGAGGCCAAAATTACCAAGAGACTGACATCACAGCATGAAAGCATGAAGTAGTGAAGCAAATAAAGCCCAGGAGTGCCAGCTAAGAGATTTGGGTTGGGCTTCCAGCTTTACTACTGACTTTCTCAGTGGTCCTTAACTTTCTGTACAGCTTTCTGTTCCTCCTTTCTGGAAAGTGTGGCTATGAGGCTAAACTAACTATAGCAAGGTAGGTTTCGAACCTCGGAGGGAAAGTGCTAAAGATTTCCACACTAAGGATCACTGCACACCTGACCTTTGCAGTAATATACATCCTGTCCTTCAATGCCCAGTGACCAGGCAGGAGTTCCTATCTGACAGGTTCAAAAAATTACAGTGATCACCAAATTACCTGGATGAACGAGAGAAGTTTCTGTCTGCCCTAACTGCGACAAGTTGAAGATCAGGCCATACAACACTGGAGAGGTTCCTACCCCTAGCTTTGCAATCAAATCTTGCATTTGCCCTATAATTTGGCCATCACGCTGATCCAGGCCTTCCCCACATACATGTTTCTTGCACTAATAAGAACACTAAATACAGGACAGGAGACCCAGTTACTTGTTTTACTGAACAAAATCTTGATTCTCTCATAGAGCTTTAACTGTGTCCCTAGATTGTGTTAAACCCTGAGACAGGCTTTCTGCAAGCCTAGGGAAGAAAGAGAGAGCTTTTGTGATAGGTCAGAGTATACAGGACAGATTCAGAAAGTGAGGGAAATCCTGCTTGGTTCTTGTCTATGGGGTGAACCTTCTTTATCACTAACCCTCTTCCTTACCCAGTAACATGGTGTTTAAACATCCTGCTAAAACTCAGAACCCTGTCAACTGGCATAAAAATCATACATTATTATTGCTCCCCTTTCTCCATCTAACTAATTATGGGTTGTGTCAGAGTTTGTCTTAAGACACCTGCTGCTCTGATTGACATTGGGTCTCTGAGCCGACCAGCACATCTACGTACCACCTGTGAGCTCAGCCATTTCCATGTTCTGCTCAATGCTTTACTGACCACAATTTTCCCAGTGGCAGCTCTCTCCTTCCTATTTCTAGTAATTCGCCTGCTTTAACCCAAGACACTGCGCTGCCATTAGTTTCCCTTTCCAAAATGCTACTAGGTTCCCACCACTTGGCTACTGAAACACCAGCTGATCTTCCCCAAATCCTTCTACTGTTCTTTCCAGCTCAGCTTTTGTACCTTCTGTCATGCTGGCCCCTCTTCCTGAAACCCCCTCCTTGCCCTCATCCACCATGCCATCTTCCTCTCACTCTCTTTATTCCAACCCTATTTCTTGTGCTCCTCTCTTCATCACCTCAGCTTGGATCCCCACATCCATCCTCTCTGGATTGTTCATCCCAGGTCCTCTTTCAGCTCCTAGCCCTTGGGCATCTACAAGGGTGTTCCTGAATTTCATGGAGATGCGCAGCACCATGTAACATGCTCTATTGTAATACAACTGCAGTGCCGTATGCTCCAGATACCCAGTCTCCCTTGTGGAACAGGCAGCCAAACAGCCACCATGACCCCAGAGCCAGTGCCCTTCCGCTGACCCAAACACACAGATCAAAATACCACGCACAGCAAGCCCTGTAGCTTCCCCTTTGCTACGTTATGCCGAGGGCTGAGGTCTGTTTATATTATAATCTAAAACACGACACTGAGTAATGGCTTCCTACGCTCCATCTCCCAGGGCCATCTCAAAGACAGTGAAATCAGTTCTGCCATAATAATGCTAGGGGATGAGCTAGACCAGTAGGTCACAAGGTCAGGTATGTAGACCAGCAACGGAATAGGGTTTCTGGCTGCCGGCCCTCCATTTTCCCTTCCCTATCTATTCAAGGAGCATCTGTACAGTTATTTGTACTCTTTTGCTTACTGAACTGTTCAGATCAACTGAATAGTTAGTCAAGTAGGTATACAGAGCAGGCACACAGAGAAACAAAAAAGTACCCTCCTTGGCAGTTGATACAACAGCTAGGAAAAAGTGGGAACCAATGGAGCCCAGCAGAAGGTGCTCCTTACCAACCCAAATGATCCTATAACAATGGAAGGATCCTTCTTAAGTCTCTCTCATTCAAGTAGTTCTCTGCACACGTTGGATACCGCAGAAGGAAATCTGCTAGTCAGAAACACTGTCCTTACTGAAGTCGGGGCTCACCACAAGGCAAGTTTGTGATTAGAATTAGGAGACGGCACGGAACATTTTAAAAAATATATATTACAGTGCTGTGCTGTATGGCTCGAATAATTAAAAAACACCAACATTTTGGCTCAGAAATGCAGTTGCCACTCAAACTTGTGACTGATGCAACTTGTCTTGCTTTTAAAGGGGTAAATAAAGATTCAAAAGAAAAAATCTGCAAGATGAGTGTTTTTTGTGGTGATAAAACTGCTTATTTCTACAGTAGAGAATCAGCAGAATAGACCAATTTCTAGGACAGAGGCAAAGCTCTTGTCTGATCCTAATCTACAACATCTGCGAAGATCAAGGGGGAAAAAAGACACACAAGGGCCTTGAGAAATCTCCTAGATTCTTAAAGAAAACACTTATGTGCTGCCTAAGCCAGCATCCTGATCCCAGCCCTATTAAGATAGTAACCTTAGAAACTACATTCTGGCGCGCATATCAAACAACAACCACACTGGCAGTTTGAAGGAAAAGAAAAAACAAGAGGGAAAAATCAAATTGGCTCATTTGGGTCAGACTTCATTAACACACATTCAGCACATCCATTCAGTGTGTCATAACCTTCTTAAAAAGCCACACGATGACCAGACTTACTGAGTTTGAAACAAGAAACAAAAGCAAAGAAAACAAAAGAACTCCAGAGTAATCCAAGCAGTTTCAATTTCTCAACCCCACCCCTCACCCCTGCCCTGCCTTTGCATTTACTGTAAGGATGAATAATCCAGTCCCAAACTACAATCCTTGGAAACATCACTTCCCTCCGAGGAACAGCCTACAGAGGGCACCAAAGAGGTGTATTTGGAGAGAGCTGGGAAATCTTCAGAGTCATTTCTGGTAAAAGTTCTTTGATGTGAGGAATGTCACGGGCTGGTACGGTTGGCAAAGTTTAATATATTGGGTGATTTTTTTTTTTTTAAACGAGCCTTCTTGATGCAAAAACAGAAACACGCCTCACTCTGCCAGGTTGTTTGCACACGTTGCACAAGAAATAATAATAATTCCGAAAAAAAACAAGTGCAACCCTGGAAAAATTTTTAAAAGAGAGAGCGAGCTAGAGAGAGAGGACAGCTGATGTAAACAAGTTATGAAATAACCCAGGTTTGTGTAACTGGTCTGATTGTGTAATGCCTTCCACAGAAGCCATGAATTTAGTCTGTGCAGGCAAGTAAGCCTTTCTGAAGTAATTTCCTAGGAAACTGAAGAGAAAAAGGCCCATTAAAAAAAAAAAATCACCAGCCTTTTAGATTTGTGTATTCACGTAGCCTCAACAGGAAATATCTTCCATTCTTCAGTTTCTAATATTATTCCAGATCAGCAGCTTACCAAAAGACAAAAATGTTAACTAAATCACATGAGCCCTGGAAAAATAAGAACTTGTATTCCTGATGGTCAGAGAGAGCCGGAAAACTGATCAACAATAAATACCAACCAACATTCAGCCAGCTGGGGAACGTCCACATAGCAGGAGAAAGCAAAAATATCACTCCCTGGGCACTCCGAACCTCTGGCTGAAGCACAAATGCATTCCATCCTCACAGACGGACACGGCTCTTTGGGTAGATGCGATCTCTTTTATTAGACCAACTAAAGAGTTGCAAAAATTGTTCTTTGCAAGCTTTCGGGCACAAATACCCTTCAACCAACAATCCTCAGACAGGCACTATTAAAAAAAAAAAAAAAAAGGGGGGGGGGGGAAGGGGAAAGAGGGGAATTTAAACTAAATTTTTTTAGGGGCCTTAAAAAAAAAAAAAAAAAGGGCGGGGGGGTAAGAGGAAAGAGAGGAATTTGAACTGAATTTCTTTAGAGGCCTTAAAAAAAAAAGAAAAATCAATCAAATAAAGACTACTTTGAGAGATGCCATTTCCATTTTAACTCAACTGCACTAAAGCATCTGGAAACCAAGACTCCCAGCACCTAACCCAGTAACACAGATGTGAAGAACCTCAGGCTGATGAAGCTCAGCTCGGGAAAGAGCCGGTCTGAGAGAGAGAAGGAAGAAGGGTCCAAACTGAAACAAAAGTAGGGGAGAGGGAAAAAAATAAAATAAAGCGAGAGACGAAGAGATTCACAGATATTTTTGTTGTTGTTGTTATTTTTAGTGGCATTACCTGGCAGATTCCTCAGCTTTGAAAGACAGCTGTAAAACTGCTGAAAGGGACCACATAAGGAGGCAAGGTTGCCTTAACGTAGCATACTATTAGGAATTGCAAAATCTGCCAGTGTGTTGCAGCTCACTGAGAATTAGCCAATGCTTGTGCTCTGCTTCACCAGTGGCTCTGCTCTACCTATGGGTGGGTGTATTGTTTGAAAAACTCATTCTTTCTTCCTTTCAGGGTTTTAAAATAACTTTCCACTGAAGACAGAACTCCCATGAAGTCATAGGCATTTTCTTCACCAGAGGTATAAAAAGCCCCGGCTAGAACTGCGACCCCCACCCCAACCACTTATGTACTTTCTAAATTTCCATAATAAAAATGAGAAGCAGGAGCCCCTCTGCTGTAGCTAGCTAGGTACCCAAATTTCTGCCAAGTATCAGGTCAGGGATTGCTATTAACGAACTGAATTAGCCAAGCAGGACATAGAAAAGGCTACTGTTTTCCAAAGGAAATTCCTCAAGCAGGGGAGCACATGCTCTCGGACAATTCCCACCCTACTGTTGAAAGCAGCACTTTCCATGGAAATCTCCTCCTCTATCTCCAAGGGCTCGACGCCATCCTAAACGGCATGGAGGCGATTCTAGTGGTCAACTCTTGGCTGAAAAAATGAAGGACTGTCTTTGCCCCCTCTACTCAGAAAAGTTGCCAGCAGAGGTCAGGATCAGAAATAATTTCTCATGCCCAGCCTCCCATCAAGGTTTGGAGATGTTGTGTGGCATTTGGAGGGGAGGTAGATGTAAACACTTGTATCATCTCAGGTGAGGTTGGACAGACAGATCTGACAGCTTCGGGGGGGTCCCTTCACCTCCTAAAAAAATAAATAAATCAAGGGCTCTGACTTTCCAACTTTATATCTCACTCAGTCCTTCTGGTTTGGCCCCAGTATCTTACTTCCTTCACCCAGCCCACACATGCGTGGCCTAGTGGAAGGCAGGGTACACATCTGCCCCCTTCCAGGCACGGCACTTTGGGCAAGACTACACATGGGCACACAAGTCCAAAAAAATAAAACAAATAAATAAATAAAACCAAGCTAGTTGAGTGAAGAGAGCACGAGCCCAGACAGCTTCTGGCACCCGAAATCCTCCCCGGGGGGGGGGGCCATGCAGCAAGAGAAGAATCGCCCCAAACAGGCCAGAAGCAGCTGGGCAGCCATGGGACTGGCCCGCTGCTTCCCATTCCTCGCCACCCGCGCCACGTCGGTGCCCAGCCGCTTGCGGGCCAGTTTCAGTCCCCTGGATGAAAGCCACTGTGGCAGGAGCCCCCTCCCCGAGCCCCCGGGAGCCCGGCCCCTCACACTCACGCGCGGCTGCTTCAAGCCCAAGCTCACTCCAGCAGGGGCCAGCAGAGCCCAGGGGGAGCGAGCCACCTATTCCCCGGGCTGCTCCTGCGGCCGAAGCGGGGAGAGGCCGGATCCGGCGCGGCTGGGTGTGGCGCCGGACTTCGCTCCCTGCCCCGCCGGGGCCGGGCCGGGCCGGGCGGGGAGAGGGCGCCCCCCTACCTGCTGCGCGGCGCCGCCAGAGTAAGGCTCGGGGTGTCCCGGAGAGCCCGTGCTGCCCCGCGAGGACGTGTCGAAGCTCCCGGGATAGTCCTGGTACATGTCCGCAGCCCGGGGAGCTCCAAGGGCTCGGCCCGGCCCGGGCGGGGGCCGCGGCTGTGCCTGCGAGTGTGCGCGTACGTCCCTGGGGTCTGTGCCTGAGTGTACCTGTGTGTGGGGGGGTGTGTGTCTATGAGTGTATGAGTGCGCCTGTGTGTGTGTGTGATTACGAGTGTATGAGTGTGTGTGTGTGTGTCTGCCTGTACCTGAGTGTGAGTGCGTGTGAGCGTGGCGGTACCTGCGGGCGCGCGTGTGCCTGTGGCTCTGCCCGTGTCCGTGTCCTTGAGTGTCTGGGCGCGCGGGGGGGCCGGTCCCACCCCCCGAGCCCGCGCGCCTCCCCGCTCCGCCCGGGGCGC